TAGATGCAGAAAAAGCTTTCGACAAGGTCCAACATGCATTTATGATAAAAACTCTACAGAAAATAGGAATAGATGGTTTTACCTCAACCTGATCAAAGCCATCTATGACAATCCAACAGCCAGCATCACTCTAAATGGGCAAAAACTGAAAGCTTTTACTTTAAAACCAATTATTATTTTTTAAAAATTGTATTTTATTTTTGTAATTTGAGTTTGAAACTGTAGACACTGTGTGCTTTGAAGAAATATTAGATCATGTTTGATCTAATATTTTGTAAAAATGATTGTATTTCCCTTTCAGATGCTTCGAATGCTAGCACAACCTTGACATACAAATTATTCATCAGGATCTGACTACTATTTGTCCCCTCTCCAGTAACTTTCTATTACCCATGCTGCTTCAAAAGAACTTGTTAGTGACCACTAATAGCAATAAGGAGATACTGCCTGGTCTTCTTGATACCAGGCACAGAGCTCTTGATCCCTCCCTTAATTCCTCATCATACTAATTAGTCTCACAACATCAGAATGATCTTTCCCCATGACTTACATATGAAAGCACCATTTTGTAATTTGAAGATTAGAGTGAATTTCTTGATAGGTAGATAATAGACCAAATTCCTTAGCATAGAAAGAAAAGTATATGGATGCAAAATCTGCAGAACTTTGACCACATGCTTGTGTGTTTTTTACTTTGTGTTAATGTCTTTACTGCTCCTAATATATTATTTTTTATGGTAGCTCCTTAGCTATGTAGAATTTTTCCTTTATCCCAGTCTCTTGGACAATTTATTATCTACTACAGAATGTCTTTTTTTTTCCATTAGAATTCAGTATTCTACATTAAAAAATAAGAAAAGATTTCAATAACTTTAAAAATTAAAAAGTATAATAGAGCTTTGGGATGCAGCTGAGTTTAAACAACCTCCTGAATGTCTTAACATTAATGATATTGGTTAACTTGGTTATCTGTCCTCGTAACTTTACTGTGATTTTGTAAAAATCCCCATAACTGCTTTGGGCAACAAGGCTAAATCCTCCAAGAAACCATAGTATACTAGATCAGATGGTGTTTGGAATCTAATGCATGTGGTTTGCATTCAAGATCTCCTACTTACCTACTGTTCTTTAATTTCTCTGACATCAGAATCTTCACAGAAAGAATAGAAATGTAAGAGAATAAAGATGCAAAGGAAAATGCTGAAAAAATGATTCACTCATCAAAAAAGTGCTAAAGGAAGAACCCTAATTACCCATAGTGTGCATGTAACCATTTTCTCCTAAAGAGGAGCCAGCGCTCCTATATTTTTAATTTTTTGTCAAAGAAAGAAAGAAATGCTTTAGAATTGTCAAATATGTAAACAAATGTTATAAAGTTGCAGGTAAGAAATGGAGAGAAAGAACAAAGATATGCAAGCAAACTGTTTTCAATATGTGTTAGCCACTTAATCACCTCTCAAATTTTACACAGGCAAGGAAGATTCTTCAAGACTGCAAGAATCACTACATAACTTATTTTGCATTATAATTGTATATATGTAATTTCTAGAGTTTTTGGAAAAAGCACTTTTGTGTTTTCTAATGAGATCATTAACATTAGCCATGCTTCTCAAAAATTTAGATGTTCTCAGGAACATCACTGTGTTTCAGTATGTGTCCTTTCACATCCCCTTCAGAGACTCATGATGTTGGCTTGGCAACACTCTCTGATAGGTTATTCTGAAATTCAAGATCCTAACCTTGTCTAATTCTCTAACAGTAAGAAGAAACCTGCAAAACATATTCAGAATTGATTATTCCAGTGAAGAATTTCTTTCCATGACTATTTGGATGATTTGTACCTATGGCTGGAGGAAATAGGACAAGGATAAGTGAGTTTATCCTCATGAGCTTCTCCGCCCTACCTACTGAGATACAGTCCTTGCTCTTCCTGGTGTTTCTCATCATCTACCTGGTCACCCTCATGGGAAACAGCCTCATCATTCTGGTTACCTTGGCCGACCCCATGCTGCACAGTCCCATGTACTTCTTCCTCAG